TGTTTCTTATAACTATTTGTTCCAAGGGGAAGCCAGTAACTTAATGTTTAAGTGAGTATGTTTGAATTTATCAAAGTTCCCTGAAGTCCATCCCCAAGGCTTCAGAGGAATGAACTGAACACTTACTGAAAGCCCGAGTCCTGTTTCATTGTCCTCGCGGGATCCCACTTGTTATACTTCACCACAACCGTAGATCTTCTGTCTGTTGAATATTTTAAACAGTCTATCAGTGTTAGACTATGTTTCTGAATGGAAATAATGTACAGACCTTCATCGTTAAGAAAGATAACAGGATGGTTACCGTTTGTCATAGTTCAGCATCTAAAATATTTGGTTTTTAAATTTCGCTTTTCACTAGTAGTATTTCTGGGTGTTTTTCTGACATATTAGCATAGATAGACATCTGAACTAGTGCTGGCTGAACTTGCTGCCACCCTGCCCAGCACACATACATAGGTTTTTGTTTGTTTTTTTTTTTAATGAAAGAAGTTTAACATTTAAAAAAATAGAAAGTAAAACTTGGCCAGATTGTATTGACAAAGCTGCCCATTACCTTTGCAGAAAGTCCCTGTCAGAAGATAAACTTTAAAGCTGGAATGCATGAAAGAGTTCCAAGATAGAATTTAAATTTAAACTGATTCCTTATAGATAAGCTTTTTAAAAATCCACCTCTTTGCTTCAAGTCAGGATTTTAAAAATAAATTTCCCCTTTATATCTCTTGAGCGATTTTCATTTTTTGCAAGGCCGCACTGCTGGTGTCCCGGAAAAATGGAGAGTTAGAGCTTTATCAGTTGGTGCCCTGAGGTATGTGGCAAAGAAGCTAAATCCTTGAAGATTAGCAAAAAAAATGCAGCACATGGCAATAAGGGGCTTATATGACTACTAGTATTAGTTCAGGTGAAAGAAGTATTGCTTATACATAAAACTGGACAAATCCACTGACAATGTATTTTTAGTTAGCTACAAAGGAGTCTTATATTACTGGACTTTGCCTCTTTGGTGAATTGGGAAGCTTAGTAATCCACTGTAAATGCTCTTCTGCGTGCCCCAATTCTCAGCATCGCTCTAAAGTACTGTTCTTTTATTTTAACCCGTACAAGCTCTTGTTTCCCCCAGATTTTTGCTTCATGCCATTAAAAGATGGCGGTAAATAATTGAAGTCATTGTCATCTAGTTTGTTGATTGCTGGGACGGACACATGAGAAATTATTTCATGATTGTAGGAAACATCCCTGTGTTTTTAGTTGGGTGGGCATTCAGATAAAGTTAACATAAACAAAAGTTTTATTTAGAAACTGTACTTTCTATATCTACATTGTTAGCATCCTTATTGGTCTTTTTCTGTGCTTGCTTGAATTTTATCTTTAAGTTAAATCTGCTTTAACTTCTTTAAGAATGAAATTAAAGTATTTAACTATTTTTAGGTAGGGTTGCAATATGTCCTGGTTTTCCTGGGACAGTCCAGTTTACACCTGTTACATGGTGTAAATAACATGGAGAAAAAAATATATTTTACAGCGCACCCTAGACATCTCACAAGTATATGTCATTCATCATAAAAGACATTGACAAAGAAACTAAATAGCTCCATGCAAGACATCAGCATTACCAGAAGGAAGGACTCAGAAATGTTTGGCAAAGAGTCACGAGTAGCATGGTAGAACAGAGGATGAATTTGGTGCCAGGAGAACTGGATTTCAATCATTTACTTACTAACTTTGTAACTGGCCAAACCACTTAATCTTTCTGAGCCCTTAGTACATGTGAGTAATAATAGCTTCCACACCTGCCTTATAGAGTTGTGAAGATCAGATTGGATTATGTATATGGGACACACTTTGTGAAGTGCTATACTGGTAAGTTATAATTATTGTGTAGTGTGGTAATAGCAGTGGACCAGAATACAATGTGAAGCATAATAATAGTGAAGAAGATTTTTTGAAAGTTAGGGCAAACAGCTTGATTTTTTGACAAAGCTTAAGAAAGTGTTATTTAAGTGCTTCAATAATAGTATTGTGGGTTGAAGGAACATGGACTATTACTCCCAGTACTCAGGTCAATTAGGAGTGTGTGACCCTAAAATTTTTTAGAATTGAAGAAATATAGGAACTTTATATAATTTTTCATTCTCTGAATAAAAAAAAAAAATGTATTCAGTCCTAGTTTTGCTATTTTTGTGACCTGAAAACAGAAAAGGAAAAAGAAACCGGAAAGAAAGGAAAAATGGTTGCTTCATGTATGATCAGTTTCTCTGTAAAATGGAAACCATGCCCCAACCGGTTTGTTAAAGAACCTAAATGAGAACATCTGGAAAATAACCAAACACAATGCCTGGCAAACATTAGTGTTTTATAAATGTTTGTTTTGGATATATTTGTTTATTTTCCCACAGATAACACAGAATGGTGAGAAAAATATAGAAGCCTTAGTAGTTTACAAAATAGGCTAGACCACTGGTTTTCAGATTTGTTTAGATATGGAACCCTGTGTTCAAAAAAAATAGAAGAGAAAGTGAACACAAAAATTTTCCATGGGTCTTGCTCTGCCCCCTCCCAGTGACCTTTGACCCCCGAGGCCTTGAGGAAAACCACTGGACTAAGAACTGGGCAAATAAAAGAGACATCTGCCAAAAGTGAGACCATTTAGAGGAGCAGGTTTTCGTGGGGGAGTTGATAAGTTAAGATTTAGATGTAATGAGATGAAATCCTTATAGGATATTTAGCTGAAAATGTTCAGTGGGCAGCATTATGTTTTGGTCTTAGTTCCAGTCGGTGCTGGTCTAGAGAGGGAGATTTTGAAGACATGCCATATTGAAAACTTAGGATTGAGGGAATTCCCTGGCGGTCCAGTGGTTAGGACTCGGTGCTGTCACTGCAGGGGACCCGGGTTCGATCCCTGGTGGGGGAACTAAGATCCCGCAAGCCACGTGGCACGGCCAAAAAAAAAAAAAAGTTAAAAAAAACCCAACAACTTAGGATTAAAACCATGGGCATGGGTGAGGTCAGTGGAGAAAGCATGGGAGGACGAGAGGAGAGGACTTTGCTAGAGACAGGGAAGGAGCGTGATGAAGACCTCAGTGAAGAAGCAGACGGGACATTTGGAAAGATTGAATGTCTAGAAGGAGTGGTTTAGTGGCGTGGTTGGGCCAGAAAGTAGAGTGGAGTTGGGTGAGGAATGAAGGAGAAACGGAGAAATGCAGACGATGAAGTGAAGACTAGAAAGTGTGAGAGGTCATCAGTGAGATGTTGAAGGGGAGGTAAATTTTTTAAAGGATAGAGTTGAGCGCATTTGAAAGCTAGATGAAAATAATGAGTGGAACTGAGAAGTTGAAGATGCTACAAATAAGGAGGAAGTCTTTCGAAGACTGGAGATGGACTCTAGTGTAATTGTGAGTGCAGAGAAGTTTGTAGGGAATTGAAGGAATTCTGCCTAGTGGCCTCAGTAGTTTTTCCTATGGGGTTTGAAGGGCAAAAGAGGAAGGAACTCACGGGATGGGTCTTAAAAGCTGTAAATGATCGCTTCCGATTAATTTTTAAAATATATCTTAAGCACTTATGTGTCAGACCCTACGATAGGCACTGGGAAATAGCAACAAACAGAACAGGCATGGTCTCTGCTCTTAACTAGTTTAGCTGGGAATCCAAATAAGCAGATAGTATTAAAGGCACAGATGAAATTGGAGTTTTGATGGCAGAAGTTTGTACAGTTTTAAATATTTTCTTTGGAATTACTCAGTGCCCTAGAGAATGATTTTAGATTGGTCCTGGATGAATGGTGAAATGACCGAGAGGCAAGGGAGTTGAGGGTGCTTGCAGGATAAGTGGTTCATTCAACAGACGTTGGTTGAGTACCTCCTGCGTACCATGCACTGTTCAAGAGAATGATCAAAGTCATAGATCTTGATGTGACGGCGGGATTAAAAAAAAAAAAAAAACAATTCAAGAAGGGGACAGGTAAAAACATATGAAAAAAAATGATAGATTTGATCAATGTGCAATATCTTGATTATATGATATACTGTACTGAGCACTACGTTATAAATTCCTTCCCCTTTAGAACCACTGCACTGTTCTGTTATGATTTAACTCTTGAGCTTGAAATATATAAATCAGTGGTTTGCGCTAGTTGTCACAGTGACTAGCAGTGTCCTCCTGGCATGTAGGGATGTTAAACATCTGGCCGTGCCTGGGACCACCAAGGAACCGTCCCACCAAAAATGCCGGAAAACTCTGATGTAGATAATAATTTGAACTGCACATCTCCTGTTCATTTTGTTCATTCAAAATGTCAGTTGTTCTCTATAGGATCTTCAAGCCAGAAATTGTGGAGAATCCCTTTAACACCATACTTAATTTGTGTATTCCCTTTCTGATTATTAGCTCACATATTTGTGAGATCTTCAGCTTATTCAGCAGTTATTGCCTTTGCCATAAATCCTTTCTAAATAAATATGTTTTGTCTCGTACAATATTTTAGATCATTTTTCTACTAGCCAAAAAATGGAACAGTTCAGTGCTGTAATTACACTTAGTGTGTTGGTTTTCTTTTATGACATTGTAAACATGAGATGAGTCTAATGTTTTTCAAGACCCGTTAATAGACTCATTTTATCTTATAGTGAAGCTATGACTGCATTTTTTTCTGTTTTTGTTAAGTCTGGCAGTTACTTAAACGTTCCACTGAATGACCCAGGTAACAGTTTCTGTTTAAAAATTCTAACAATAAAATCCAAGAAATTAGTCAAAACTAAGAAAATGCAGAAATAACTCCATATTTACTAAAGTGTTTAAAGTTTATGGAATTTCCCATGTTGCCTGGTAGCCTTCAGTTGTTGGGAAATGAAAACAAAATAGCCCAGTTTATCTTTACATCTAGCATTTTAGGCACATTTGAAACTTAAAGGTTTATCAAGTTTGTGGAGATGACAAAGTAGGAGAAAAGGGAGGAGGTACTTTTGTTGAAAAAAATGTATTTGACTCTAACGTAGTATCTTCAACAGATAAAAGTGGAGCCAGTGGTCCCAGCCCCAAGCCCTGTGATCCCCAGATTGACTCTCAGAGTTGGAGCTGGCCAAGACAAAATGTAAGTACAGACGTTTCCAGTTAGAGTGCAATAGATGGAACTTAACCTTCACTACTCTTTCCTAGTGGATTTAATTCTATAGACCTTCTCCCAGTGTGAATATATAGTAGGGTCAAGCTGTATTTTGAGAAGTCTTCATTTTCAAATTTTTATTGGTTTCTTCCTCAGAGTTAATGCTTATTGCCTTATTCAACATATAGGATCCTTTGTTTTTGGGGGTTTTTTTTTCCTGGCACTTTTTCTCTTTTGTAAAGACTAGCACAGGACATTGTTTCTGCATAGTTTGTAAGGCTCTGGTTATCTGAAAAATAAGAAACTATGTATTGAATGAACTGACTACCATGTTATGCCCAGGTGGATGTAATGTTAAACCTTTTCAAGTGTGTGTTCTCTGTCACCAGGACAAAGAATGAAGATTCTTTTCTTGCTCAGATGGCACATGGTTTTATTCTGTGCATATAAAACAAGGATACTGCCAAAGGCTTGGTGAAACAGTATATAATAGTAGCAACTGAAATCTGAATTGTGTGCTCTTTTTTTTTTTCTTTTAAGAGAGAACTGGAAATGTAAACGCCATGTTTACTGTTTATTTTCTTAATTTTCACGGAATCATCACATCCACCCACCCTTCTTCAAAGTAAATTAGTTGGCTATGTTTCTTTTATTCATTTTGAGGGTATGAATTAAGGCCTACAGTGCTATTGTATGATCCTAATAGGGTAATGAAGCATTGATTTTCTTTTTGTAAATCATGTTGAAAATCATTCTTCTAAAAATCATGTTATACATCATTTAAATGAATTTTACAAGCTCAAAGTACACGTTTACAACCTTACTTTTTACCAGTAAGCCTGAAAATGGATTAGTTTACATTGCAAACAATCAAATATTATGTAGAAAATAGGCTTACAAGGCATTTAACTTTCATTCAATTTTTAGCCATAAAAATGAAAGTAGTAGCCATGAACTTATTTATTTAGTAGGTACAGTAGACAACAGGAAATTTGCTTTACATTCTCATGGTTCGTTCCATCTTAAAGTTTGTGTGTAGCGTGTATTTTATGCAGCCGCTGCTTCTGTTAGTTCTAAGTGTAATACAACGAAAAATCCCAGCATCATTCTGACGAGTGGTGGTGTAGGGCAAACATGGCCTTCTAGGAAAGTGTATACTCTTCTGAATATTGAAAGAAGAAAATCCGAATAGTTTGTGCTTTTCTTACCTAAATTATCTGCGTAATTTCCACATTACTCATTTTGGTTGTGCCAGTAGAGACCTAGACAGTAGGCGGTAGTATTGCTGACAAGCTTAGAAAACATAACAAAAATACTGTAGATTGAGCTCTTTTTAAACCAAATATTGGTGCTCGTGCCCTCTATCTTACCTACAGAAATTTCAGTAACATCCTTCTCCCTCAAGCACCAGAGGACAGAGGGCTAGTTAACAAAGAGAGCCAACCAAAATAACTGTACCTCCCATCTCCTTGGAAATCCTGTACTTGGGTTCACTACTCTAAAGGGAAGATGTTCTTATTTATCATTGGACAACTACTTTTCTCCTACCCGTTCATATTTATTCCAGTTTTCTCATAACTCACCATTACTTCATCTTTCCTTTCACACAGAAGTTTGGCTTGCTTATTCCTTTAGAGAAATAAGGTTTGTAAAAAGGCACTGATAATAATATTCATCTCATCTACCCATAAGCGTCTTTCAGTTATTCTGTTGAGTAATTTCTTTTCCTCTCGATAAATCACTCATATACCTAAGATATTGGAAGATGTGAGAAATAGATCCTATGACTCTGGAACAAAATGTTCAGTATTACGGAAATTATAGTACCCAGACATTCTAGACAAATTGTCCTTGAAAGTATAACTATGTAACGTGTAAACTTTCTGACACTTAGGTAAATAACTCCCATATCATATGAATAGTCAATCACTTGACCAAAGTCAGACACGAGGAAATACTTATAATGAGCAAAGGAATAACTTAAGTGAAATATATTACATTTTAAACTTAAAAAGGGAGAGAAAAAGAGGCCCAAGTCACATAGCAATAGGATTTTTATATAAAAGTTAATGAGTAAGTGTTGTTGTTTTTTTTTAACTTGTTTGTTTTCTGTTTTTTTGTTTGAAATCTAAATCAGGAGTCAGCAAACTATGGCCGTGGGCCAGTCCATCCCACTATCTGTTTTTTATGACTCACAAGCCAAGAATGGTTGGAAAAAAATTAAAAGAAGGACAACATTTTATGAACATGAAAATTATATGAAATTAAAAGTAATCTTTTATTGTCGTAGCATAAGGATACGTGGCTTATTCCTTGGCATTAATAATGGAAAAGAGATGGTAGATTCATATAAATGTGCGTTTACTTAGTTTGTATACAGCCGGGGTCATGTAATGATGCTCTTTTGAAGTGGAATTAATGAGCAGACTCGCATTCAAATGGAGGAGTTTGAATAGTCTGTGGGGAGGGGTTGTGTACTGCTAAAGAACAGGCAGAGAATAGAGTCTTTTGAAACTACAGGAAAAAGAAAAAGCTTTACAGGGTTCAAATTTTACACTCTCGTTGGAAGATCTTTAAGACAATATTTAGTTTCTAAATCTTATAAAGAAATGATGCCTTTGACCCGTGATCCAGGAAGGTACTTTGAGGTTAGGTTATTTCCTCTGTTCTCTATTATTGTCCCTTGAAGCCAGACAGAGGGCCCTTGTTTTCCCCTTCATTTAACATGCCTGGAAACTGGATTCTAAAGGATCTGTGGTCAGTCCAGTGCCTCCTTCTGATAGTGTTAAAACTCAGGGTGACTTTACAAGGACCTCAAATTCCTTCAATAGGTCTCCCAGTAATGGGGACCCAGAGTTCCTGTTAGTCTGTATTGAAGATGAAACTAAAATACTAACCCTGAAGTTACAATCTCAACATCCGTAGTTTGTGGGGATGATATGAATGGGGAGAAACAACACATTCAAATAAATCATTAAATAGCTGAGTCTGGCCCAAGAGTCAAGTTTTGCCTTGATGCCGAGAAAGCAGGTAGGTTTCAGCTTACCCAGGAGCAGCACCTGGAGCCATATTGATCAGGATTTTGAGGTCCCACTGGACTTGGTGACAGAGAGTACAGTGCGTGTAATGTCCACTATGGGATGGGCAAGTGGCAGCACAGCCGCCATGTTATTTGTTATCCCAGTCTTACCATCCCTTTATTTTGAGCAAGTGTGGGAAAATTGGGCTAACTTTCGGCATTTGTTCATTTATTTATTTCTGTGAAGGATATAAATAGAGCAGAGTAACGTGAGGAAGGGAGTACCTTAGTGTGGGACTGTTTAGATAGGATTGTTGGGAAAGACATGGCAGAACATTAAATGTGTGGTTATATTTATAAAGCTCAAAATTCTGTTAAAGGAGCTTCTCATTAAAAAAGATAACTTTAGGTATTGGTAAAGTATTAAGAAAAAAGGTCAAGGATTGTAAAGATTTGGGGGTGAATAATGGTAGTGCTTTAGGGGGTTAAGCATTCTTTCCCCCTCACATTTCTCAAATGTATCTTTAATGGGGCAGAGTGGCTCTCCCACCAGGGAGCTTTGGTCTAGTCGGTAGGGTTACTGTATTGGAGAAGTTGGGAGCTGGTCCTGCTCTCAGGACATTGCTGCCCTTATTCAGTGAGCTCACCAGGGAGGGGGTAATGAATTGGGCTCCTCCAAAAATCCAGTAAGGCTCAGTTATTGTTCCAGTTAGATACTGTATCTGATCAAGTGACACAGAATCATTTATGGTACCTTTCATGAAAACAATATCATTATCATTAATAATCCTAAATTTTCTTTTGGCTGAGAGGTCACAATAAGTATTCTCTTTCACAAGTTTAATCCTTTTCCCAAAATATGCAAATTATGCTGAGATATTTTTCAATGACCACTTTACTGCTGGAAATTACAGTTTTCTTTCTGCTAACATTTTATCACCACAGCTATGAGTATTATAATACTCATGGTATTATGTATTTCTTATAATTCAGGAAATTCTTTCATTAATCAAACCTCTCTTAGCAGAGGTGCTGAAAATTGGACGCTTTTTTTTTTCATGTAAGTAATTCAGTTTTTTTTATTGAAGTTTATAGAGTTTAGTTTATGCCTGGGAGGAGGCTTCTTAATACTTGCAATTTCTAAATTATATATGCTATAAAAATGGGAGCTAAAACTTTGCTCATTAATCTTGAAAAATAACGTTCAGCCTTTAAAAATGTAAAATATGTACAGGTATTTGTTGTCTTTTTTGTGATCCAAACTTTTCTGCTTAACTATTTTTGATAGGACAGCCAGAAATAGAGGATAACCATGGGCAATTACAAAAATAACCATTTAAAATATTTTTAAAGAAAGTAAGCGTTTTATATTTTTATGTAGCCAGATTTCACTGAGAGACATATAATAGGTGAAATGTGTATAGTGGTGTTTTAGTGACAAGTTCTTTAGAAAAATAATAGCAAATGATTTTTATCTCACTTTCTACATTTCTTCCTACACTTAAAATGTCGTTTATTCATATGTAGACTTTTTTCCAGTCTAAACAAATTTAAGGGTGACTTAAAGAGAGAACATAAAGATACTAGTAAATACTAGGAAACCAAGGCCAAGGAAAGGAAAAAGAAGCAAATGACTGCACATCAAATATGATTATGGCTTCCTGGCAATAAGTGCAGAGTGAAATGCAGTTTTAAAAAGGAAGGTACCTCCTAGTTTCTCAGGAGAGACAAAGTTTTTGAAGACACTAAATTTGAAATTTTATTTCCATAAGGAACCAGATGGCAAGAACACCTTTTTTTTATCTGACTGTTTCTTACACCAACCCCTGATCCAAGGATGTAACATAGACGCACACTCAGTGAAGGTGCCTCTGTAAGGAGTCTTCCCTTCCCTAGTTGAAACACTTTCTCTTTGTATTAGTCAGGACTGTTGGTTGCAAGTAGCAGAAACCCTAATCAAACTAGCTCA